GTATCATTTTGTAAGTGAGGTCCCCAGAACTGAACGCAGCATTCTAAATGAGGTCTAACTAAAGATCTATATAGGGGAATCAGGACCTCCTTCCTCCTGCTGGTGACCTCTTCTGGCTCAATCAGCCATGTAGAAAATTGTCAGTTCAATCAAGCTCCATGCACACTAGCATTTTTTAAGCTCCTAGAAGCTATTACAAGCATTTTTATTCTGCTCTTTACTATTATTATACATAGAAACATAGAAAAGTGAAATAGAAATATAGACCAAGTGGTCTACCAAGTCCACCATTTTTTTTTATTTGTTTTTAATTTTTTTTTAATTTTTACTAGTAATGGCAGTGATCAGCAACTTATAGTGGGACTGCGGCAGACATTCTGACACTGGGGGGAACTGACTTGGTGTCACTGACATCCCCTGTGACACCAATACAGTGATCAGTGCTAAAAAGCACTGACACTGTACTAATGGCACTGGGCAGGAAGGGGTTAACATGAAGGGTGATCAAAGGGTTAACTATGTGCAGGGAGTGTTGTACTAGGGGGCTCCAGAGCAGTGTGCCCGAGCTGACTGGCAGAACTGTTCGTAAACAAAACAGTCCTCCTCCCAAAGATCTTCAGAAATCAGGGGGCTCCGGCGAGTAATTGCTGGCCGAGACCCGGTGATTGACATCCACAGCCGTGAATGGCGGTGTGGGAAACGCAAAATAACATATAAATAGTATTTGTGCTATAGGGCGGGCGGGAAGCGGTTAAGTTAACCTTTTTGTCTGAGTATAGATCTATGTTTGTCCCAAGCATGTTTGAAGCCATTAACTGTTGCCTGGCTCGCTGCCTCTGCTGGACGTTTATTCCAAGCATCAACTACCCTTTCAGTAAAATAAAACTTTCTGAGATTAGTTTTGAACTTTCCTGCAGTTAGTTTAAGGTCATGTCCCCGTGTTCTTGATTTTGGTTTCATGTTGAAAATACTGCTCTCCTGAACCTTATTCACCTTAAAGGTTTCATTTTTTTTTTGTTTTTTTCGTTGTTAACTTTTTTGTCTGAGTATAGATCTATGATTGTCCCAAGCATGTTTGAAGCCATTTACTGTTGACCAGGATGATGCATCCTAGAATTCTATTTGCTTTTCCCACTGCCTGGCCACACTGCTCATTTTGCAGTCATTTGAAAAAGTATGCAGGATTTATATAGCATTAAAGAGTATGCACAGCGCTTTACAATATAAAGGGAGACAGTACAGTTACAGTACAATTAAAAAACAAGAGGATTAAGAGGGCCCTGCTCATAAGAGCTTACAATCTAATAGGCTGGGTGCAAGTGGTACAAAAGGTTATAAATGTGGGGGATGAGCTGATGAAAGTGATAAATGTCTATTCGAGGAGTATTCGGGGGTGTGACAGGCTTCCCTGAAGAGATGAGTCTTCAGGGATCACCTAAAGGCTGCCAGAGCAGGGAATAGCCGGACACATTGAGGTAGAGAGTTCCAGAGGTTGGGAGAGGCTCTGGCGAAGTCCTGGAGACAAGCATGGGAGAAGGAGACAAGGGAGCTTGAGAGCTGGAGGTCATGAAAGGAGCAGAGAGGACGGTTTGGGTGATATTTGGAGACAAGATCAGTGATGCAGCTCGAGGCAGAGATGTGGATGGCTTTGTATGTTGTTGTTAGTATTTTAAATGTAATTTGCTGGGCATTCGGAAGCCAGTGGAGGGATTGGCAGAGAGGAGTAGCAGAAACTGAGCGGCTGGTAAGGTGGATGATTCTGGCAGCAGCATTCATGATAGACTGGAGAGGGGATAGCCTATGGAGAGGCTCCTAGAGGCTTAATAGTGTTATTATTATACAGGATTTATATAGCACCAGCAGTTTGCTCAGCGCTTTACAATATAATGGGAGACAATGCAGCAACAATACAGTTCAATACAAGAGGGTTAGAAGGGCCCTGCTCCTTGGAGCTTACAATCTAAGAGGGAGGGGCTAGTGGTACAAGAGGTAATAACTGGGGGGTATGAACTGATAGGAGGAATAGAAGATTCCATTATTAGCTGAGGGCAGGATAGGCTTCCCTGAAGAGAGAGGTTTTCAGAGATCACCTAAAAGTGAGCAGAGTAGGTGATAGTCTGATAGATTGGGGTAGAGAGTTGCAGAGGATGGGGGAGGCTCTGGAGATGAGCATGGGAGGAGGAGACAAGGAAGCTAGAGAGCAGGAGGTCGTGCAAGGAGTGGAGAGTACGGTTTGGGTGACATTTGGAGACAAGATTGGTGATGTAATTTGGGGCAAATGTGTCCATGCACATATTTTATGCTAGAAGGGTTTTTCAAGCTTCAGTGTTTAGAAGCAGGAAAAAAGTGCTTGTGTTAAGTTTTTGGGAGTGATTTCCTGCTGACGTTCCTAAACGCTACTAAAACGCTCCTAACAGCTTTTTTTCAAGTGTTTTTTTTTCTTAAAATGTATTGTTAAAACACTAACGCTCCTAAATGCTTCTAAACGCTACTAAACGCCGGCACAAAAACACTATCATGCGCGTTGTTCATCCAGCATTTTTTTTCTAGTGTTTTCTGAGTTTATAAAGAACACTAGTGTGCATGGAATCCCACTGTTCAGGTATTCTAACAGCGGCACCTCCCAGCTGTCACAATAGAATGGTCGGCACTGCAGATTCTCTGTTCAGGCTCAGTTCATACTAGTGCGGGTGGAAGCCACTGCGGGAACCGCACTTCATCTCGTAGCTGCAACCACCCATGCGCAAAACACAGGACCCGCGGGTGGGTGCCATTAATCTCAATGGCACGTCGCTCCCACTGGTAATTGCACTGCACTACAGCACTCGCACTACAGAGCAGTCTGGATAGGGAATCCAGGGAAACGTGTATGGCCTGCCTCAGTTATTGTGTCACAGATTTCCCAGTTCACATATATGCGGATTTGTTGCAGTTTGAACTGAATCCAATCCACATAACGTGGAAAAACTTTGCTTCCTATGGTGCCTGTTCACATATGTCTGGTGCACTGGCATTGCGGATTCAGTGAGGTTTTTAAAAAGAAACCTGTATGATTTCTGAGCAGTGCGTCCGGTTCAGGTGCGGATTACAAGCTATTGACTTCTATGGGAACCTTTTCAAAATAGCATACGTGTGAACAAGATAAGATCCTGAGCTAATCCTGTCCTGAGCCTGATGTAAACCTGTGAGTAACTACTGTATCAGTTAGCTGTGAAACCTGAACTTCAAGCTGCACCGCACATGTGTCAATCAACTCTAAGTCCTGGTTCACACCTATTTTTCATTGCATTTTGCAGAAACACACTACAATCCATTTAACATGGGTTCCCATGGGACATGTTCACATCTATGCATTTTTCAGCAGCTGCGTTTTTGGAAAGGGTCAGGGATTTTTTTTAAATGCAACACAGTACGTTTTGGGTTCAATGGACATGCAACAGAAGCACATATAGTGCGTTTTTTATGTGTTTTTGTTTTTTTTTTTGCCAATAGGATTGACTTTGATTACACTTTACTGCGACTTTGATATGATTTTAGATGGATGCAACTTTGATGCAACTTTGGATGGGTGTGACTTTGTTGCAACTTTTTTTTTTTGTTTGCTGCTAATAGGAAAGTATAACAGTCCTGTTAATGTAGTGCGACTTTGATGCAACTTTACTCTCTGGCACTCATGTAGCATCAAAGTTGCACCCATTCAAGTTGAACCAATCCAAAGTCGCATCTAAATCACACCTATTCAAAGTCACATCAAAGTCAATACTTTCCTAATGGCAAGAAAAAAGCAAAAATGCGTGTTCAAAAATGCAAAACGCACAGGAAAAATGCATCAATCACGACATGCAGAGGTGTGAACCTAGCCTAATATCCATTTACAGGTGTGATATGTTTCCTGCTAGCAGACACTGATATTCTGTAGATGATGAGTAATACGCAGAAGAAATCATATGAATAGACATAGGCTGGGGTGGGTTTTGTCAGGAGTCTTTGTTCCCTGAAATCCATCGCATATAGTATATGTCTGAAAATAAACAGGATCATCTACATCTAGAATATATGATATCTTATAGAACACTGCCTATTTTACGATGGCATCACAATGGAATTGTTGTGACGTCTGCCTTCATCTTCATTCTCCTCTGTACATCTTAACCATTTCAATACTGGGCACTTTCACCCTCTTCCTGCCCAGGCCAATTTTCAACTTTCAGCGCTATCACACTTTGACAATTACTCAGTCATGTAACATTGTACCCAAATTACATTTTTATAAATTTTTTCACATAAATGGAGCTTTCTTTTGGTGGTATTTAATCACCCCTAGGTTTTTTATTTTTTGCTAAATAAATGAAAAAAGACCTCAAATATTTTTGGGAAAATGTGTTTTTTCTTTGTTTCTGTTATAAAATTTTAAAATAAAAACAACCCAAATCAGTGTATATTTTCTAGTCTGTAGGAAAATTATAGAGTCCACAAACTATGGTATGTGTGTGTATATATATATATGAGAATTGATCACACTTGATGTACTGAAGGCCGATCTAATGTCTTGAGGCCCGAAGATGTCAGGACAGTACAAATACACCCCAAATGAACTCTTTTCAGAGACATGGTGAGTTTTTTAACCACCTCCCGCCCGCCATATAGTCCAATGATGGGTGCAAGGTGGTTCTCTTGTTCTGGGAGGTCATGTGATCAGCGGTGTCCAATCACAGCTGATCACATGTAAACAGGGAAATGCCGGGTATCGGCATTTCTCTCTTCTCGAGCTGTCATGCTGACAGCTCAAGGAGAGGAGAGCCGGTAATCGGCTTTCCACGGAGGGGACATGTACACAGATCATCAGGGCACTGATGATCTGTGTAGCCCCAGCAGTGCCACCTGTCAGTGTCCATCAGTGCCTTGTGTCAGTGCCTCGTGCCAGTGCCCATCAGTGCCACATCAATGCCACATATCAGTGCTTATCAGTACACATCAATGCCACATATCAGTGCCCATCTGAGCTGCCTTTCAGTGTCACCCATCAGTGCCAGTCAGTGCCACCTATCAATGCCAATTAGTGCCACCTATCAGTGCCAGTCAGTGCCACCTAACAGTGCCAGTCAGCGCCGACTATCAGTGCGCATCAGTGCCGCTTATCAGTGCCGTGTCAGTGCCGCCTATCAGTGCCAGTCAGTGCCGCCTAATAGTGCCAGTCAGTGCCGCCTATCAGTGCTGCCTATCAGTGCCATGTATCAGTGCTGCCTTTCAGTGCCCATCAGTGATGCCTGTCAATGCCCATCAGTGCCACCTACCAGTGCTTCCTCATCACTGCCCATCAGTGCCACCATGCCCACCACTGCAGCCTCATTGGTTCATATCAGTGAAGGAGCAAAATCACTTATTTACAAAATTTATATAACAAAAACTAAGAAAAAAGGTTTTTTTTATCCACAATTTTCAGTGGTTTTTGGTTTGTTTAAGAAAAAATAAAAAACCCAGAGGTGATTAAATACCACCAAAATAAAGCTCTATCTGTCACAAAAAAATGCTAAAAATTTCATATGGGTACAGTGTTGTATGACCGCGCAAATTGTTATTCAAAGTGCGACAGTGCTGAAAGCTGGAAATTGGCCTGGGCAGGAAGGGGGTATAAGTGCCATGTAGGCTAGTGGTTAAAGTTGTTATTTTTTGTCACAATTTTTTGAAAAATGAAAGAAATAAAAAAAAGTGTTTTTTTCACATTTTGTTTTCCATACTGTCACCAGTGCAGTACAGTGTCATCATATAACTGGTGTGGCGGTGATGTAATGAAAAATGTAATCAGCCATTTTTCTCTATCTATTCATTCATCAGTGTTTACTATTGTGATTAGCTGTGATCAGCCATAGCTAATCACATGGTGCAGATGTGCTATGAGTGAATGCATGCTATCCATTGTGTACAATTGACGTGATCTACTGTGGTTGGTCACAGCAATCACATGGTACTGGCAGCGGGCGGTACACTGACCTGTCATCTGCTTTGTCTGATGGACACAGCAGATGACAGATGAAGCCGCAGCGTACCTCGCAGGGGGCATGCAAGGTACATTCTGGGGAGGACGTCATATGATAGTCATGTGATCTGTCCAGCAGCCGGCTTCAGAGGAGAGGAGAGATCGGTGACTACATATGGAATGGCTGTGCAGTGACATCATCCATAGGGTTACTATGGGGCATTTGTTGTCGGCTGTCCCTCCTCTCCCCTGAATCTGGCACTAGGAGCCAATCGAGACAGGACCGCAGCACTCTGAGAATAGGTAAGTATAAGTATCTTCCTTTTACAATGTAGTTAGAATAGGATTTAGAAGGGGACGTGTTACACTTAGTAATAGCCTTGACTTCCACATTAAATCTGCACCCTTCATTACCTGGTGATCCTTTCATGAAGGTTCTTATGCAGGCACTTTGTGTTATAAGGTAACCATGTTCTTTCCCATAATTGTTCTCCTGTGCTGTCACCTTGTCATACAAACTTCCTATACAGACTACAAATGGCAGCTTCAACATACAGGTGTAACATGTAACATGTTCAAAAGGTGAACTTATCCTTTACAGCTAGCCATAGATGTTTCCTTTTTTTTGATCAGTTAGTGGCACTCCACTGTCAGAATACTCTGATCAGTACTTCAGCTGCTTGGCTGCAGCCCCAGAACAAATGAACATTTTCAAACATGCCATTTGACAAAAGCTAGATTAACGCTTGTCAAGCAGGAACAGCCATAAATGGATCTAAATTCAACTGGTCCCTGCTGAACAGGACGAATTTGGATCCATCTATGGTCAGTTTAAGACTATATTTTCATGAGCCTCATGTACTTGCTTATTTAACAGTTTTCCTGCCGCCCTGTAGCAGAAATACTGCTACAGGGCGGCAGCGCTGCGCAAAATCACGTACATATACATGATTTTATATATAAAAAATTAGTGCACTGTACACTAAATAATCATAAACTATAATCAATCAAATAAATGCTGCTACATAAAAAATGTGCATAAATTAATTGAAATGATATAAGTCCACCTTCATATATTACATAATTAAAAGTCCACAAAATCCAATAACACAGTGCTGTGTCCTAAAGAAATCCTCCACTGGAAAGTGCATAGGTGTGAAAAAATCAGCCTCTTACCAGACACTTTGATCTCCAATCAAGAGATCAAAGGAGCAGATGGTGTTCAGATCCCACACTGACATCCTAGTTAGCCATATCAAGGAGATGAATGGACCACTGCAGGTTCACTTGAACGAATCCATCACATCAGACAGCTCTCCACATCATGCAAGGAAAAGTTTAAAATAGGAGAAGAAAACTTCATAGTGCGACCCGATAAACCAGCAAAGAATTTATTAAAGTATTTCACTTACATAGATAAGGTGCATAAAGGCAGTGTAAACATTTAAAATTCCCGCAGTGTCAGACCACCGGCCGGAATGAGGTGACATCATAGACATGACTTTGCATTTCCGGGTAGGGGAGCATGCGCTGCCTACGCGCGCAGCCATTGCCGGCCTCAGCTGACGATCACCAGGTCCCGGCTGGTGATTACCTGCCAGCACCCAACGATCACTGAGTATCACTGACGGGAGAGACCTGTATGTAAACAATCCCCTGTCAGCTCCTGCACATTGCTCAGTATTGCTGTCCATAGCAGAGCAATACAAAGCAATGTGCTGACACAGTAAAACAGCACACAGCTAACTCTTTGATCGCCCCAGATGTTAACCCCTTCCTGCCCAGTGTCATTACTGCAGTGTCAGTGCTTTTTATTAGCACTGATCACTGTATTAGTGTCACTGGGGATGTCACTGACAGTCAGTTCCCCCCAGTGTCAGAATGCCAGCCGCAGTCCCACTATAAGTCGCTGATTGCCGCCTTTACTAAAAAAAAAAAATATTCCAGTATACACCGCCATTTGTAGACACTATAACTTTCATGTAAACCAATTAATTTACACGTATTGGGTTTATTTTTAGCAAAGTCATAGCAGAATACATTTTGCCCTATATTTATGACAAAATTTGATTTTTTAAATTTTTTTGCTGGACATGTTTAATAGCAAAAAGTCAAAAATATAGTTTTTTTTCTCAAAATTAGCTGCAGTGTACGGGCCCAACCACCTGTGTGCATGAGCCTTAAATGCATTTGTGTTTACATGAATTTATGTGGGGTCAAATGAAATTAAACACATTCAAGGTATCTAATCTGCACCTGTATTCAGAGAATTCTTTTTTCACTGAACACAATTACACTGAATGCACATAAGCACAGCTAAATGCACAGTGTGAATTATACAATTTAAAACCAATTGGAATTCTACTGACACCATTGATGGGGAACTACTCCTCCCACTGACAACAATGATGGAGTACTATTCCTTCCACTGACACCAATGATGGGGCACTATTCCACTTTCTTCTCACCACATGTGGTTACATTTCATTAAAATTGCCAGTGTAGCTCTACCCTGAAGCTTGTCAAGGCTAGGTTCACACTGTTACGAGTGGTTGTGGGACAGCGTATACATTGCACCTTTATCCGCATCTACAACCACATGCAGCCACAATGCTTTCACAGACACCCAGGGCTGCCATTCATTTTTAATGGCACCCCACACATCTAAAAATGTAGCACTTTTTCAGGTACAGGAAATCTCATGGTGCGATTTCCCTGCAGCTGCATTTTTAAAACGGTGTAGGAACCTTTTTTCTCTTTCCCACAGCTACAGCAACCCATTCAAATGAATGACCTACTGTCCTTTGCAAACGTGAGCTGCAGCAAATGCATAGGTGTGAACCTAACGTAAGTCAGAGCTTTTTACTCTCTGAGCATGGACCCTGATTCTAAGTTTTTTTTAAACATGGCCACACAGAGAGAGGCTGGCCATACATGAGTCATATTTTCTTCTGTACAATCAGTGGGTTGAACGAAAGAAAATGACTTGATGTGGTTGGGGGAATCCTCCCACTGAGCAATTATATACTGACAACTGGGAGACTTCCCTGCTGTCAGAATTCACTGATCAGCACTGCTGGCTATAGCCGGTGGCACTGATCGAGAGAAAAATTTCCAACAGGCTGGTTGTACACAAGTCTATCAATAGATGGACTTGTGTACAGCTAGCCTGCCTATACATGGATCGAAGTTCGATTGATGATCCCTGCTGAACTGGCTGAATATTGATCCATGTATGGCCAGCTTAACCACTTCTCGCCAGAGGTACAAATATATACGTCATTTAATGCTGAGAGGCTGCATAAATGAGGCCCTATGTAAACATTTTTCTGTGTTGAGAGAGTGTGCCCTGTGTGCTTCCAGCACAGTTACTGGCAGGGAACAGAAAGCTCCCGATGCATACTTGCAAAAGAGAGCTTTCCGATCATAAGACTGCTGTGAGTGACAATCACAGAGGTCATATGATTGAAATGCCCGCCTCCACCTCCCGGCATTTAAAACCTCTTAAAGGGCTGGAAGGCGGTGGCAGGAAGGGATTAAGGGTCCTTTTACACATGCCTTCTGATCAGCTCCACCCATCAGTTTTTCTGGTGAACCTGATATGAAGCCCCATTTATGTCAATAGGCAGAAGGATATAAAGGGACATGCACCGTTTACATGCATGTACCTTTGAGTCCATACATGATGGATTGGAGGTAGCCTAATGTAAATGGACACAAGTCCATTTTTGTCCAGCAGCCTATAGAATGAACACTGGCAAAGAACGATCCGCAGTCAAAATGTAGAACAAAATGAGCTAGCATGGGAATATATTTGTGGATCCCCAGCTGAACAGATTGGACATGACCCTTGTGAAAGGACCCTATATTTGTAACATTATTTCAGCTATGACAGGATAGCCTTCAAAGTAGCGAATAGCCTCTAAGTAGAGAAATATGCCTATGTCCATCCTTCACCTAAGTAGAGAATTATATGCATGTCCATCCTTCACCTAAGTAGAGAACTATGTGCATGTCCATCCTTCACATACGTAGAGAACTTTGTGCATGTCCATCCTTCACCCAAGTACAGAACTATATGCATGTCCATCCTTCACCTAAGTAGAGAATTATATGCATGTCCATCCTTCACCTAAGTAGAGAACTATGTGCATGTCCATCCTTCACATACGTAGAGAACTTTGTGCATGTCCATCCTTCAGCCAAGTACAGAACTATATGCATGTCCATCCTTTACCTATATAGAGAACTTTGTGCATGTCCATTTTTCACCTAAGTTGAGAACTATGCGCACTTCCATCTTTCACCT